TAGGTTCATCTTAGATTGCTTTCCGTGATCACTCCGACTCCATCTCGGGGAGGCTGGACATGTGCATTCGTCGAGGTCGCGAGACAGGTACACGGACGCGTTTCAGGCTTATCTTTGTCCCATTTTAAATAAGTATTCCTCTGCATGAAATTATTTATTTCGATTTCGCCCATCCCTGAGTCCGCGCGTTACTCTTGCCCCGGCTGTCGACGCGTACACGATATACACTCCTGGCCAAAGATCATTTATTACCTTAGTACTCCTCTTTGTCCTTTATTTCTCTCTTTTTTTGTTCTCTTACGTTACGCTCGTAATAATACGTCCGCCGTGTTTACTCGGTATCTCTCTTAATAACTTTCTTCAGACGATAGATAGGTTTACTGCTATTCTTTACGTATCGTTTCGCCATGACACACACGCACACCCTGATTCCAAATTCAACCATCTATCTCTTCACAAGCATTCTCGCGCATCGATCTCTGGAATAATCTCGAGTCGGATACTAAATCCGTTCCGTTAACGAATCGACGCGAATCGTATCCGAGTACACTCGAAAAACAAGCAACCAGAACGGAACAATCTGTGTTTCGAGCTCGAACGATCCGGGTCGATTACACGCGTTTCGCGCGGTCACGATTCATTCCCTTACGATCTGAAACTTACGTCTTAATCTTACGACTTAATACTATTCAATACTTGTTGAAGCTCATAATAAGTACATATTTGAGGATTAAGTTACCGATTATTGTGTTAACCTTACACTCCTACGATCTCGCTCTTCTTTCATGTAATGTATATATCTCTCTCTCTCTCTCTCTCTCTAACATCATACACTCTCATACAATCTTTCTCTTACTATCTGACAGTGTACCTTTGTATGCCGTCGACGCGAATAGATACAGAACAGAAAGTCGTCGAACAACGGCGTATCCAAATCTCTGTACAAGAATAACTAACACGTTCGCGTTCAAGTGATCCTCGAGGCCCGTGAACCGCGAGCGACTCCAGATTCCGCGTTGGTGGCGCGGCTCATCGCTCCAGATGGCGAAAAAGTGGCGGATAATCACGGGCACCACGCGAACGTTCTCAACAATACGAACGTTTTATGTACAAACTAAAGAACAAGGAGCGAAACTATCACCGACGCGGCGTCGTTCTCTTCGTCGCCGTATCATTTTTTCGCGATTTCTCCGTTCTCAGTCGCGCGCGATCTCCGCCACTCGTGGTAGAGGAGGTGGGGAACGGAAATTGCGTGAAGCGCGACCTCACTACGCACTATTATTATTAACTTTATAGCCTACTCGTATGTTTACTAATCATGGCGAGCTAGGTCCTCAGGAAACAGCGACCGTTCCATGGATTGTTTAATACAGCACCGGTAAGCATCCATCATCTTCGTTTTGGTAGAAGCGACAGACGATCGCCGATCGGTTATCCTCTCGGCGATCATCCGCGCTCTACGTACGTCAAAAAGTATACAGGTTAAACCTAAACCGCATCTACGCGTACGATACGTTATAAAATGTTAATATAAATGATTAAAAATTATCGTGCCAACGAAAGGAATCGAAGATGTGTGAGAAACGAAGAAGGCAAAATTGAAACTCGCGAATCCCTCGTTATTCTCGGTTGCTCGTCGTCCCGAAGTGAATTTTCGTTTCGTTTCTTTTGGTTTTTTCTTTTTTATAAAAATACCACATGCTATCGCGATAGATCCTATGTACATACAGACGTTCCCGGACCGGAAGTGAAAATGCTTCCGACGGTTCCGACCGAACATAGAGATTGTTCGTGAAACGGCTCGGCGAAACGTCGTCGGAAGAACGGATCGCGGAGGAATGATCGTCGACGTTATTCCCCACTTCTTGCTACGGCTCGAACCGATCGTCTGCCCAGTTGACCCGCGACTCACGTCGGTTTGCTTGACGATTCCGGTCGTGGATCGAGGATACGGATTCACGATCCCGTCGAACAGAAATTGTCAAACAAACGGAGCTATTCTACTCTAAGCTGAGAGGTATACACGAGAATGTCTTTTTCACTTGAATCGTTCGAATTCGACGAGACCGGCGAATACTCGCGCGTCTACGCGTGCAATCAGAATGAAAAATAAATGTACACCTGAAATTCATTATACGGTCACGCGGATGGCAATTTATATAAAAATAATACGTTCACTTGTATAAACTATGAAAATGGTTTCCGATCATAGAGAGCAGAATAGTAATGAAAGTAACATAAATGAAGAGACAATATAATAAGTTTTTCTAATTACCTTTCTGAAATTGTGAAAAAATATCTGAATTATTGTTTGTAGCAACAAATGCGAACGAAATCGATGGAAAACACGAATGTTTATATAAGGAAAATATAGAAGAGAAATTGATTATACATATAGGTGTATACTTACTTCTGACTTTCATTGCGTTTCTACATGAATTTATGTGTTCGTATTCGCGGTTCGTAGTTCAGACAGTGGATTTTGAGGAAAGTAATGTGAATGTTTTAGGATTACAGGCCTTACCGATTTCCAGCACGCATCGAACGCACCTGCGTAGCACCTTTTCAGTTCTCGACGATGATAATGATAGTAGTGATACTGGGTAGTGTTTTATTATTATGGCGTTTCGCAAACGGAAGCTCGGTCACAGTGGTACGTATGAAAATATCTTCGAAGGAAAGTATCTTATAATCGGATAATTGAGCTAATCGAAAAATTTCTATGCGAAAAATGATACATCGACCATTAGTAACTTTGTAATATGGCGTTTATAACATACACACAAATTAAATCGATGTAAATTAATATATAATGGCTGGAAGCTGACGTCCCTCTAAAAAATTAGCAGGAAAGAGGAAATTTATCCAACAATTCATAAATTAAGCTTAAAAGTAAAAGTTGTGATTACTTTGAAAACTGAGCATGTTATAAAATAAAGTACTCAGATGAAATTGTTTTTCGAAATCAAAGAGAGAAACTTGACCAAAGAGACTGTGAGAGAGAGTGGAATTTAAATTCTTTTCCGAATCTTAATTACTCTAGAGCACCAAACTTAATATTCGACAATATTTGGAACTCCAACGTCAAAACGATTAAAAAAATCTTACTTCGTTTTGTAAACGAGTGCATCAAATTAAAAAAAAAAGAAACGGAACATAAAAAGTATTCTTAATTCTAATTATAAAACTAAATACACTATCAAGCAATAAGTGAATAGAAACTTACCTAAAACTACTGTTCAGTCGAACAAGCGTCACGAGCATGTATTCTATACCGTATCATAACACTATCCTTTGTTACTTTTCTAGAATTATTCGAATAAAATGATGAATTAATCTAACCCGTTCAATACCGGATTCTATCTCGCGATACGACTTCTTCAAATTAATTGCAATACACAAAGGAAAGAAAAATTGACCGTCGAAGATCCATCGCCAATGTAAGAATTTACAGAAATTCAGAGCCCCCGAAGAAACGTCAACGAACCACTGCGAAGGGGCCACGATATGTTAACCTACGTGGGGGTTAGGAACAGAATCTCTCGATCGATGATCATTTTACGTCCTATTAAACACGAACAAAGAAACCGTAACATCTAGGAAACGGGGCGTTTTGTCGAGTCCGCAATGAAAGAAATCGTGCGAGTCGAAGACAGACGGCGCGGTGCGCATCGCGAGCCTGGCAATCGCGTGATATGAAAAAGCTAACAAGCTAAAAAGAAGTCGCTGTCCGCGACTTACGTAGCCGATAATAATCTCATGGTGTAACCTGTGTGATGTACGGAAAACGCGACTCGACGCCGCGTTCCCTCCCCTGGTGTCTAACCATTCTCTCTCTCTCTCTCTCTCGTTCACCGGCGAATCCAATTAATACACGTGTGTACACATACACAAGTTTCTCGACGAGAATTACAAAGTCATCATCCAGCTGTGTTAAAAACTACGCTTGAAGCTCGACCGTACCATGTATCCCCTCATCTTCCGCCCCTCTTCCCCTTGCGATTTCGTCGGTATTGTCAGTAGTGATGGTGCTGGAACCATACCGATACTATCGATACAATTGTACAAATTTCGATTCGGTATTGACACATCATCACAGAGGTAGGTATAAAAACGAATCAATACTTCTTCGATACTTACATACATATACGAAAGTATCGATAGTTATTTGATACCTACAGGAAGGTATCGATAGCGTTCAATACGTACACGAAAATATCAGTACCTTTCGATACCTATATTAAAATATCGATACCTTTCTGCAGCGAGTTTATTCGAACCGCCGACTATACATTCTCGTCGACTCCATGTCGTTCGATGCTGGGCAATTTGAGTAAATGCTATCGAAAGGAATCGGTACTTTCACTTAGATATCGAAAGTTATCGATACCTGTTTGAGGTACCGAACGGGTTTCGATTCCGTTCCGTATCAATTTGGTATCGATTCAAAATGAATCGGTGTCGATAATTAATACCAAGTACTAAAAATATCGATACGTATCGATATTTTCCCATTGTGTACTTTAGTATCGTATTGAATGAATACCAACGATAGTATCGATATCGATCCCATCATTAATTCTCGGACGGGGCTACCAACCGAGCACGTACGATCCCAGAATCTCGTCCCGTCGTTCGTATCACAGATCTATAAGAAAGCAGGAGAACTGATTTCCGTTTGCTAAACGGTTCCGCGGACGGTCGTCCTCGATTCGAGTCGCGTCCCTCATCACCGACAATCCTGGAACCATTTCCCTCTTCGTCCTGGCTCGGTTGATCGCTCAGGAAGAGGAGGGAAGGGGAAGAAACAGGTGGAGAAACGATTACCACATAGGAACCGTATCGCCGAGTCTTCGCGCGGTCGGCCATCTTGTCAGGACCGTGTTCTCCGTCTAAGCGCACTTTTCGCCCGGCGATCCTCGTACGATCACGATTCCACGCGGGAAACTCGGGGGAAATTCGTGGTTCTCGTCGTGGCTCGCGTCACGGAGTCGCCTGCTGTGTGTGTGTGTGTATGTGTGTGTGACTATTTACAGAAGTGGGAGAGAAGTGTTCGCGGGTAGTTCCGAGACCGGATACAAGGGTGGATCCTCGTGGTATTGGACCGTACCGCGGGCACTGTTCACACCACGTAGAAGACGATGGTACGTTAATGGCAGTCGTTTTGGTAGCGATTCCGCGATGAACACCGGCGCATTTCATGGTGGCCATCGTTCCATTGATCCGGGCCGTGAAAAATCGGATGATCAGCCTTGCGTCTTTGTCGATCGAGATTGAAAGTTCGTCGAGATGATGGTTCGAGACGATCCAACGAGCGGTCAGGACGAGACCGGCTCGTTCGATCGATCGAGATTGAACGTCATTGGTGGACATGGTGGTGATCTCGCCTTCACGGACCTACGGTTTGCCGGCTCTTGATGCGGACGTGTCTCGCGTATCCGATCCCCTTCACTTGGTCGAAAGCCCGTCGGTCGCAAGGAGGACAAAGGCAGTGGTGTAACCGGTCAGAAGGAGAGTGAGGCTCGTCCGACTGATCGTGGATGGACCGCGATTCTTCGGCAGGACGTTTGTACGTGGAACTGTGTCGGGGTCTCGGCTCGACGAGGGCTCCAACGATCGGTTCCATCAGACCAGGGGGGTGCCGTACACCTCGTTCATGTGCATATTTTGATTGCTGTCGTTCTGCCTCGAGGCGCATTGCTGGAACAGACGGAATGGAGAAGGGTTCTTCAAGCAGCCGTTCGATTGTCTCTGCGTGCTCGGGAAACACTTTTGCTGTTACTATTATTTTACCATTATAATTGCATCGTACAACTGAAAACTAGATTTTATTCATGCTTATCCTGCTATTCTTCTCGAGTCTATATAACCCAAAATGAAGATTATATTTCTATAGGTACTATATTTTTATTAATTATGTGCTTTTAGTATTCAACATATTTAAATTTCACGTCTACTAGTTGTGTATTCTACATTTCTTAAGAATAAACCATTTTAACATTTGAAATAATTCTGTTTGAAGCGATACAAATGTGTAGAATAAGTCAGGAGAACAGCAGGGTTAAGATAGGAGAATGACCAAATTGGCAGGTTAATTTAATTTGTTGAACAGTATTATTCTTTAAATTTGTAAGAATGGAAACGTAGTAATCAAAGTATTGAAAGGATATCTCTAAATCATTAATGAGAAAATTCCAGAATTTCTTCGTTTGTTTATTTAACGTAGATATTTCCTGCGATGCAATTCCATTTGGAAAATAAGAAACAACGGCTGTACTTGTGCAATTTGATTTGGAAAATAAGAAACAAATAAATATTTATTCGTCACTGATAAATAAATTTTTCATTAAAATAAGTTTCCGTTCGAATAAAAACATATTCACGAACGTCGTTAATTATTATTAATAACCATTATCCTTTTATATTATTTGAAAATAATATATCAACATATTAAGTTATTGAAAAATTTCTTGCAATTTGTTTAACTTATGTCCAGCTTTAACACAAGTTTACATTTTACGAGATCCGTCGAAAAATTCTGTCGTTTTATAAAATTCTGCTTCTACTTAATTCGTTTTCTCTGATAGCTTGGCAAATTATTATACAAAAATAATGTTGGTTTCGTTGTTAAAATACAAACGAAAAGAAACTACAACTTTCCCCAAAAACTGAACATAAATGTTAATAAAAACCACCCCATTACAAACAGGTCTATGCAACAGTCTAATAAATGGTAATGTTTCCAAAAAGAGCTGTTCAACAAGCTTACTAAATATGTAATTTCCTTTCTCACGCGAATCTATATTTAGTAATACAACCAATGAAAATTATTTAATTCACTGTGAACAGATCTACACAACGATGCAATAACGAATAACTATTTTATGAAAAACTATAGAGTAAACTTATTATATGAATAATCCTCTTCATTGTCAGTTCATATGTAATGGAGATAGACTTACCGCTTGCTTCCTCTCCCAGCTCTTCATGGCGGACTTGTACTTCTCGAATTCGTGACACCAGTCCGAGTATATCTTCTGATAATCATTGGACTTGGCGGGCGCGGAACATCTGTGAGCGTCTACGGTGATGTTGTACGAGCACAAAAGCGAGCCACCGAGCCAGCAGTCGTATCTTCCGGCGTCTTGCTCGTTCACACCCACAATCACGAGGCCTTTCTCGGACGTCTCGATGAACTTGCCCCCTCCGGCCCCGTACTTGTAAGCTATCTGGTACTTGCCCTTCTCCTTGCTGTAGTGGTCCCACCTGACTTCCTGATTCGCCAGCACCTCCGGCATCTTCACGAAGCAGCCCAAATGCACCGACTGTCCCCAGGTGACCACCAGCTGCCGTTTACCTGCGCTGCTGTCGCAAACGTCAGCGGTGCTGTTCGACACGTCCTGAAGAAGTCTACGAAAAGAAAAGCACCATTATTATAAATACAGGGTGTCCCACTTATAAGGAACATTTAAATTATGTCCTATGATATTGAAAGTAAGAAAACATTACTAAGAGGAGTTATATGGTCTTAAGATGTGCATCTGACGATGATAAAAGTTCCACAAGTTCACCCTGAAGGTTATTTCAATGTGTATATATTTATCTATGTCTTGTGTCTTCCATACTTATTTCGTTATTAGAAACTTATGTTTTCGTACCCTTAGAAATAATTATTCTATATGGAGACCAGCAAGTGATTCTTATTGAAGAGGATAATGTCAACGTGCGTTACGAAAAGTTGCACATATCATTTGTCTTACGAAGACTAGTACGGCGGACTTTCTGACCACGAAAAACAACACGTTTCGATTGTAGGCTCAAAAAGTAGCATATTTTCACTTATAGCTACGAAGACTATGTAACATGTTCTACTTTTTCGCTACGAAAACTAGCACAGTTCGTTAACAAAGCCTCGGATAAAATTTGTGCTAAGGAAAAACTTGTTTCAAATGAACTCACGAGTCTCCCATTTCCGGGTCCTAGAACATTTTTGTTACACGCTGTATACACAAGATGAGCGGTGCAGAGTCATGGGGAAATGTAAAGTTTATAAACTCGTATCTTGTTAAAGAAAAGTTGCAGGCAGACCTATTTGAATTCAAAGATTTATCGAAAAAATTTAACTGGCCTTTTGTTAAAATCGCTTCCGTTCGAGAGATTCCTGTGTGCCCAGATGGGAATTCAGGTACCGTTAAATACAAGTATGATTTAAATGAAAACAGTATGGGAATTAATATTTTGAAACTTTTCAAACTTTTCATTATGGAATATGGCTTAGAAAATAGCTACGATACTAAAATTGAACTATCTTTAAAAAATACAAGATTTATCAACAATGGTATCTAAAGGTCTTATCCCGACAGGATTTATTCAATTTTATAATAATATTGTTAATTAAATAAATTAGTTTATGTTTGTTTATATTTGAAAGTTTCACTTTTTCATTAACCCTTTGAAAATCTGGGGAATTTCGGCCAAAATATACCTATAGAACGTATACATATACGTCACCCGGATTCAAAGAGTTAAAGACGTTTGTTTATTTCAGTTCAAAGAAACGTAATTGTACAAATGCAACAAAGTTAGAACTTCACAGAAGAATGGGACATTATTTCGCCTTGCTTTAACCAAAAATTGAGTATGTCCCTTCCACGACGATTACAGGTTGTGATTGGAACCAAAGGCTACCCTACAAAATATTAATATTTATTTCTTTATGTTTTATAACTCTTAAATATGAAGCGTGTGCTCAATTTTGTGTTACTAATATAAATGCATTGTCACATTCTTTATTAAAAACAAACAAATGGTTCATTTTAATTAAATTTTTTTCATGAATGATGCATCAAAATATACGAATAAAATAAATATTATAACTTTACTCTTGAGTACATATGTTTTTATTTATTCTCCTGCCAATTTTCATTAGTAACATATAGGTGTACGCTCAATTTTGTGAGTAATATTACGTCAACTCTTTGTAAACTGAAATGTAGTAGCCTTCGTAAGACATATTCAACGTGCTACTTTTCGCCGCAGTGTTCGAAATAGGCTACTATTCGTGGCGAACTGTAGAACGTGCTCGTTATCATAGTGAATGTCAAACATGCTAGTAATCGTGGGAAACGATGAAACGTGCTTCTTTTCGGGATAGATTGAAATATGCTGGTCTTCGTAAGACAAATAAAGCGTGTTTATTTTCGTAAAGCACGTGGATTTAGAGTTGACGTATTTGATTGTATCATACTCTATGTTGAATATCTGATAATGGTAAGAGTCTAGATAAAAGTTCCAACAAGATATCAATTACTAGATTACTGCACAAATTCCGTACGCCATTTTATCGTTAAATAAATATAGAATGCTGTTCAACCCGGGGATTAGCATTTGAAAATAATATTGAAGGCATATAATGGCATCTATGAAATCTACTTTAATAAATTTAAACAAAAACTTTTGTATAAAATTAAATTAAATTTTAATGTATTGTATAGCTTTTGCAGCGACCTACAATATCAGTTATCTTCGTTGCATTTTATAGTAACGTGCAACCGAATTCGCGATCAACACAATCGTGGTTGGAATTATATTCAGAGGAGTTTAAAGTTTGAACAATGAATACTTCAACATTACAGTTAACAACTTAACATCAATACTCCAAGATTACAGGAATTTCACAACAGACAGTTCAAGTATACATGCAACACCACTTTAAGAATTACTTTTGAATTTCACTGATGTTGCATCGAAAGAAAGGATTGCTTACCCAGGCTCGTAAGGCTTGCAGGTGTTCGAGTCCTTGTCCCAGCCGCAGTAAGGATCGTGAACGCAGCGAAGACAGTTGTCGTATCTGCGAGTGCACATCACCAGATCGATCTGCTTTATTCGATGGTCGGAGGCGACGTAAAGGGCCTTGTGCTCCTTCGAGATTTCCATCGCCTGGATCGGCTCGCCAGGCGTCACATCAAAAACGTCCAACAGGATAGACTGGGAGTCCCCGTTGCTGTCTGTCCATTGAACTACCTTGTGTACACGTCCGTCGCCTGTAACATGAGGGAGAAACGACGTCTTTGTAAACAAGCACTCTAGACAGATGACGAGTCGTGTCGCGGTCGAATTTACATCGGAACATTGCTAACAACGATTAACCCTTACAAGACGGACCCGTGGATTGATGGAGCCAGGTTATTTTTAATCCATTTCGAAATTCCTTATTAACCTTCCTACAGACGACTGGTCTCAAAGATGATTCTGAATTTTTATGACTAGACTGCAGATTTTATGCATTTATAGACTCTAGAGCTCTGTGAAATACAATAAAAGGCAAAACTTTTATCGAATGCAACGACTTTTCTATTTTATTCTTAACTCAATAATATACTTAAGATTAGACAGAAATTCCTACATTTATTCTCGTCTTCAAGAATTGCTTTATAAAACTTTATTTTGCATAAAAACCCGCAGTCTATTTATGACACAATCGGTCAGGTTCATTCAAGTCATTTACGGTTCAATTTCATTGTCACAGTTGGTAGACAATTTTAGAAGCTGTAGTGATTCAATACTTTGAATTGTCAGTTAGTAAAGAAAAATAACGTTCAGTTGGATATTAAATGTGTGCCAAATAGTCGTAGTTAGAATATTCATCTTTGGGACGAGTCGTTTGTAGTTGAGGGTGTTCAGCCTTGGTACTCGAAGCTGTTTTAAGTATGGGGAACGGAATTTTCCAAAGCAAGTATCTAAAGAAATAATAAGTCTAAACGTAAAATAACACGGTATTATAAGAAGCACGGAAGCTATGTACATATTATTACCAGATACACCAACACGATGCACTTACGTATCTACAGTGAAAAAATGAAAGGTAACTGTAGTGATTGTTACTGTCACTTATCAATCGCCAATCGATTCGCTGCATTAAATTATACAGCGTATGAGAGTTGTTTCACGAGTGCAAAGACTTAACATTTCGTCAAAATTTTTAGAGCACGTTTCGGCATAGGCTTCACGTGTGGATCTCGAGTGATACACTTCCGTCATCTGAGGGTTAAGAGATCTTCAGGCAATAATATGTTTTTTCACTTTTATGTTAATAATTGTCATATGGTCGATTATCTATGGGGACAATGACATCTGGATTGTATTCTCTATGATATATTCTATACGTCCTCATTCAGGGTTTCATTAATTTAATAAAATTACGTGGTTTAAATTAAGTTTCTATATTCTGTAGCTATGCCAGTGCGTTTCTTGATTATGTTAGTCTTCGCGGCAATATTAACCGGTTGTCAGCTGGCTTTGAGACAGGACCACCGATAGCGAAAGCAGACGACACAAGTCAACTACAAGAACCTCAGAGTTGGTGATTATCTTGGCAAGTTTGCCCCTGACAAATCAGGAATCGGATATCCGCGCAAAACGTTTCACGAATACGTATTTCTCATTAAATTCCTTGTCACAATTTAGCTTAGATGGCGGAAATTCTGAATTTCGTTATATCTTTCACAGAAAATCCAGATTAGAACACAAATGATACAAGTAACAATTGTAAAAATATTTGCAAAATGTAGCTGTTATACAAACAGGTAAACCTTGTATTTTTTATGTAATATTAGAAATGTATTAAAACGACAAGATTCCATACTTTCTTCGTTGTAATATATTCTCTATATTCAAAAACGATATATCCATATGCCATTATATTTTTGTTCTTAAATTGTATATCTATAAATATATCTAATTTCTATCTGCGAATGTATGTACAATTCCCATCATTCTAGTGTAATATTTGTACACATATATGTAGTTTATCTGTGAATATTCTATCGTTCGAATACTGTTGTTACCCACTACATATGTATAACCCCCAAAGATACTAAAACACTGTACATTACATGATATCCTAATTAAAAAACCTCCTGCAGTTTACGATTATTATATGAATACAGAAAACCCAACCTTTCGAGTAACAAAATGAACCTTAACTTTTTGAGATAGGTACTAATGAAATAAAATGAATATCAATTGTATAATCAATGGTACTGTTATAATAGATATAAAACCCACTATTTAACAATCTTCGAAAATGTCTCACTATTTCACCACAAGATATAAAGCCACACAAATCAACAGTATTAAAATTTTCAAAAGAACTATATTAGAACACTTACTGGAACCAGCATAGTAGACCGTGTAGTCCAAATCGAGGCCAACGAAATCGATGCGTAGCTTATCGACGACCAATCGCGTGAGCATCACGTCCCGCTTATAGAACACCGGTTTCTCGTTCTCGTGCGTTATCGCCGAATCCATTAGTGGGTGGGATCGAATAAAGTTCAGAACGGTGTCCGGGAATGTCTCCGTGTCGTTCACGCACTGGCCCGGTCGCGGTTCAGGAACTTTGTTAGAGAGCACCGGAAGCCAGGCGCTGCTGCTCGTCGCTTGTTCTTTGAATTTTCCTCGGAACGCCTCCTGAATCGCGTCGATGTGGAATGAGCAGATCGCCGAACCCATTAGCCCGTTCGTCGAGGTGGTGAACGTCCCATAAAAGTGGGTGTCGTCGCCTGGTACTTTATAAATGCTCTCTGAAAAAATAAAAGAGGAAAAATAATTAGTTTTTTGTTGTTGGATCAGAGGTACATCAGCACGTTGAATGCCGTGGGGAGTCATCGGTGAGCAACACCGTCAAAATCAATTAAAATAATTACATCAAGTGATCTGTAATATTTGCATACATTTCGATATTATTAATATTGGAATGTAAACCCGTAATCCTCCACAAATTAAATGTACGAAGTATGATAATATAAGTTAATTCAATAATTTTATATAATATTTCAATTTTATAAACTCTGTATAACGAAGCTTTCACTTCGGCATTATAGCTGAAACATACGAAAATCCCCTGGTATTCAAAGTGTTAATATTGTAGATTAATATGTGCTTACGTAATATTGAAAATTTTATCTTACGTTTGGTCTGACAAAATCCTTAATCGAGAAACTACACCTGTGGTTAATTTTTATTCTTGTCGATTAATGTGTAAAAATTTGCACTTGCGTAAAGATTTGCTGTCTATTTACTAATACACTTCATAGCTTGGAAGATACTTCTCATGTAAATATAGTATAATAACTTGTACTTCGTTATAAAATTCTAATGTTTCAATAATGATAATATTCTCCTACTGGTTGCTTTCTTTGTTTTCTCTCTTCCTGTAATCACTTTCTTCGGTATTTTTTTTTATTTTCATGGTCTCCGTTCATGCACCGATGGATTTTGTTAATATTTTACGTTGAGAAATTTTGTTAATATAAGGCGGAAATGTGCGTACTATTGGCGAAAAAATCTAGTGTTACTTACGTATCTCGTTGAAGTAGAAGGGAAATTCGCCGGGTATTGAGCAGTTCAACCGGGCCTTCAGATAAGTCGACCAATTTTGCGACAGAATATTCTTGCCGCCGGTGTCCCGTTTGCAAACTCTCGCCACACGGGAATACACGCTTTTGCCGCAGTTTATGTATTCTACCGCGGTCTCGCGGAAGAAAAAGAATACGTGGCTACCGATGTCGTAGGATCCCACGAAATTCGGTTCTGAAACAGATAAGAGGAATATTCATGTGACTAACAGCTCTTAACAGTTTTATCACTATTACATGGAAAATACATTTTTTTGGTAAACTCTTAAAAAATACTCGACATTCTATTATGATTTAATAACAAGAAATGTCTCTATCTATCTGTCTTTTCGAGTATTGTTATTTTTAGTATAGTTTATTTTTTAATACTTTGACTGCTACTTTATCCAAATATACGGGTGCGAAACGTACATTGGAAAGAGGCCGTATTATTGAAATAACGTTACAACATTTTTGCATGAAGTTAGTATCGCAGTATGATTTAAAACAAGAACAATAGCCTCCATGAACTAAACGTATATAGTTTCGACGAATTATGGACTGAAAAGAAGGAAATAAAGCGTGTCTGGCTATGTACGGTCTTTTCCACTGTGACGGCCAACGTGTTAATTAGTATATTTATCTCTTATATTTATGGTATGTTCTTAACATTATATTTACAATAACAACCATTTTGCCCAACTTTAATTACGTATCGTTAACATTGGATTTTCAAAATAACAGATAAGAAAATTCACTTCAGCGATTATACGAGTGCTCATTTTGAGTACGTAAATATCAGTCAAAAGTATCATTTACATAACAAGAGACAGAATTCATTCAAAAATCAGCGAATAAAAAAGAAACACCTAACAAATCTGATCAAATCCACCACGCAAAAGGAAACATCAAACCAACGAAACGGAGTTGAATTAAAGTGTATTAGGAGTTCATTCGAGAAACATTCACGATGTAAAAGCGAACTGTTGAAAAATTGAGAAATTCTGTTTAACCGCGGCGTACGTGTTCCTAGACAGATTCAATTCGAGCCGAACACCGAATCCGTCCCGCGGTGAAATTTATGGAAATATTAAAATCCCGCGTAAAAATAAAATTGAATTCCGTGTCCAGGACCGGCGAAACAGTAATTTCAATGGAAACCACCCGCGGTAAGATTCCGCGTTGATGAAATTCCACGCGAAGATTCCCGTCGAACGATTTGCTCTTTAAACACAATCAAGCAAATTAAGATGCAAATCCGTCCGCGATGTACCACGCTCTTCGCAGCCCGGGCTAAAAATCATCACCGTGTCGGTGGAAGTCGTCCGGAGAGAAGCGTTCCCCACCGACGTTCGCGCAAGCGGGGGAGAAATTAAGAGATCAATTTTCCAGACCAGTGTAATTTACGTCTCTTTTCGCATTTTCCGCGTAACCGTTCCTGCTTTTAAAAAAATCCACTCAAAGTAATAATTTTATATCATATTCTTTCTTGGCCATTAAATCTATCTATGAATGAATTTGCATTCAACTTCCACGAATGAAATAGGATTGTCCCAGTCACATTTACATTCAATATACAGGGTGTTATGTAGCTAGTGGTACAATCGGGTAGGGAGTGTTCTACGTGACAGAATAAGTCAAAAATCCAGAATAAAAATTATTCATGTAAGACTTCATTTTCGGGAATATCTGCTGGATAATTGAAGAGAATTTATTGTTAGCTAGCGCGTTTGTTCATTGTATCCGTTTCTACTTACTACCATGGCGAATGCACGCGATTCAGATTAACTTTCGAAGTCGACTTTCTCGAAAATGAAGTCTGAAATGAAAAAATTATATTTGACATTTTCGACGTATTTTCTCACGTAGAATCACCTCCTACCAGACTGTACCATCAGTCACATTATACAATGTATATAGGGTGGGGCAATAACTGTCCACTTTGAATATTGCCGTTATTTGTAGTAATATGAAAAAATGTTATGTACAAAAACTTACACGGTATAGAGGTGGGCATATTGTGACACAAACATTTTCTGCGTGGGTGAGGGCATAGAGGAGATTTCAAGGTCATGTCTATTTTTTTTAATGGAATGCTATGTTTCTTTTATCGCGATGTGATAGCCGATATTGAGACGACTTCAGCGAGCTATTATTGAAAGTCATGCAAGTTCAAATGTGGTAGTAAAATAAACTTTCTTACATTACTTAATGAGAATGTGCAAAGAGCTGTTTTCGGAGGTGTGGGGTAGAACGATATGGCCATCAAATTCATCCGATCTCAACGCAATGGATTATTCAGTTTGGTCAATTTTGGAGAGAAAAATCTCCTCTAAAAAATACACCACCGTAGAACAGTTAAAGTCTGCTTTAGAAAGAGCCTGGAATCAAATTACTACTGAAGAGCTTGTGTGAAGGCTAAAGAAGGACATTTTGAATACTTATTGTAAAATTTTATTTAGTATTTTGTATTCTTTAAAATAAAATAAAAATTGTTTTAATTCGATGAGTTTTCATAAAGTTATCGTCTTCGAAAGTATTGCGGGTATTTCATTGTCACCCTGCATACCGTGTAAGTTTTGTGTATGTATAACATTTTTTCACATTGCTACAAATAACGGCAATATTCAAAGTGGACATAGTTATTGCCCCACCCTGTATAGTTATGTATTTGATCAACACCGATATTAAAAATAATTGTTATATTTTATTGTTTAGAATATTATATTACACATAACTTTGTAAACATTCAATATGTACACCCTCTTAAGAAGACATTCCATGAATAACAGTATGCAATATACACTCCTTACACTGTTGATATAATAAAAGAAGGTCCTTATAAATAATGCAGTTGAAATAACGACCGAACAATTTGTTTATAATAGTACGTTCTCTGTTTATTTCAAGAAAATGGTACCACCGCGTTTTCAGTTATCTATACACAACTTGTTACTGATTATACACAAGTTCTAAACTATTTATACATAATTTATATAATTATTCACACCACTATACACGACTTCTAACTAAAAGTAAACAGACAATAAAATATTCCGGGCATTGACCAAATTGTATCAGTGAACATTCGCTAAACGTCGAGGGGAACTTTTACATCCCGTTTGCGAGGAAAGTTCGTCTTCGGTGATATCGACGGTTCACTGGATGTATAACAGAAAGGTTTCGCATCGCCGCAGGGTGCTCGTTAGGAAAACAAAAAGTTGAACACTGCGAAATTACGCGGAAGGGTTACGGAGGGGCTACGGAAAACCGATTGTCCGGAACTCCACGAAAACTTGGAAATTCGAAGGAACGCCCGACACAATGAGAAAAACTATAAAACAGACGTTCAGGGAAGCCCGAACGTTACGACCAGGCGAGCGGCCAAGTTTCCCGCGCGTTCGAAGAAGAACGACTTCGCCGGTTTTCATTTAGCGCCGCGGCAAACCGTCCCGGTTGAACGCATGCTTAACGAGACCCACTTTGTCGTTTCTACGATCTGCAATCGTAAAACTGTTCGACGTCTCGACCGTTACCGTCGCCACCGACCAATTCGTGGATTGCAAGTTTTCTTCGAAACGAAAGTTTCGTCATGCAAATCACTTTCTGGAGTGCAGAGATATTTTTACTTTGATCGGTTTATTTCCATTGATCGACTCTATTGGACCATAATAACCAGACGGTTCGAAAGTTATAATGAGTCGGTACTATACAGGGTGAATCACGCAAATGTCTCCATTATTTGTATGAAAAAACTCCCGGGAATGAAGTGACAGAATTTGAATGGGTACATGTAATTGTAGAGAAAAATTGTTTTCACGATTATTTTCCAAAAAGATCTGAAGGTCACTGATATTTCCTTAAATGGAATACTATATTTTTTTCTATATTCGTTAGAGTGTCAAAAAGAAGATTCAATGAACTTAATAATTATACTGTTCCGATCATTTCAACCCAAGATATTTTCATAGGAAGAAAATTAAAGTTTCCTGCGGATGTATGAGACACATTGATTCATATATTCGAATCCAACGTAAATAATATGAGTGATTTATGTCATGGTGAATGGGGGAGATACACTAAGTGTTATATTACAGCTAAGTCCTGATAACGTCATTTTGTGGTTAAAGTAATATTTTCTTTGTAATTATGACAATACTCCGCGTACAATATTGTAACAGTAGCAATTAGAACTAAAAAATTTCAGATGACAGAAACATGGAACAGGTACGAAGTGTATCGTACAAACTAAAGTGTAGAGGACAGTATACTAATGCAGTATTGTTAAAGGGAATAATATAACAAGGACAATATTTATTTTTACCAAACCTAAACTCTGGATTGTAAAATTGCAGCAAACAACATATTTCTTTTACATACAAAATATTACTCATAATACGTATGTAACAGACCACATAAAACATAAAAATTTGTATAACAACGCAAAAATCTTAAATTATTCTTCGAAGGAACTATTTCTTTTCATAAATACCCTAATGTCTATTTACAGAGATTAATTTTAATTGTTCTAACAAGGAAAAATACACTATTCAATTTTACAATATCATGTTTTTCAGCACTATCAATTATTTCAGTAAAATTTCGTCGGCATACATTTCGACTGTAATCTAAAGAATAACCGAGAAGATTAACAAAATTCATTTACCAAAAATAAAAACATTACTACTAACCAAACGACACAATAAAATTACAAGTTTCAAGAAACGTTATTCACCGCAAGGCGCCAAATTTCATCCTAATCGTAATCCTCTGTTGAACTGTTAATCGCTCGGTCAAAACTGAGCAGATTTCAGGTTTATCGTTGCGTCGTGGAAAAACAACTACGTTCGCGACGCGGACGGAAATCGAAGTTTCTTCGCGCTTGAATCGTGTCCCGTGCGAACGGCACAGCCACTGTCGATTTTACATTATGCGACGGCCCGGGAGAGGAGGCTGCACAATCTCTTTCACAGTTCACCGATTAAATCGATTGTCTGACGCTTCGCCGGTAGAAGTTTGATATATTGAGGGGCAACGGGCGAAAGGGAAAGGTTGGAACGCGAGAAGAAAGAGAGAAACGGGGGATAGCGATGGGTGGACGATGACAGAGGAGCGGAGATCGAGAGAGGACAGGAAACGGAAGTGTCTCGAATCGGCAGCATGGAATGGTCACAGTTTTATTCGAATAATCCATAG